ACAATGGTTGGTTCATTGGTCGGTTGATGGGTGTGCGGGGCGAGCCCATAGCCCGTAGTCCGTACCCTGTAGCCCGTAGTCCGTACCCTGTAGCCCGTAAGTGGCAGCATACCATACGTGACGTGACACGTGATGTTACCTCGCAACTTTAAACATGATTTTGGCGTGAGGGCGTGGTATGTGCATAACTGAAAGAGTTTTCAGTGTATACCATGTGAGAAGAGCCAAACAATAAGAAGAGAATGTTATCAAATATTTTAAAGTTTCTACACAGATTTTGTATTCTCTTAAGCAATATTTTTAGCTGTCCCGCTGCCTTAAAGGTAGTCGTGACCTCTTCCTAAACAAACTACTAAAGTAAATAACAGATAATAAATTTGATCAAATATTGCTGCTACAATAGGCGGCGCTATCAATTTTATATAAACTTTCTAAACGATATCTATGTATGTGATATATTCGGAACTTATTTAAAGCGATCAATATTGTTTAACATCAAATGGTATTTATTAAGTAAAACTTTTTATCTTTTGCTATTTTTGGCGATACCACTAGGCGACATTAGTAGAGAGTCTAAAATATAATCTTTTTATATTTGATATATCATAATAAATATCACGTGTGTCATTCGATGCTATTACTTTAAAAATACAGCTACTCTTCGATTATGCAAAGTATGCAAGTAAATATATATGTATGTATACATAGAAAACAACCTTATCATTCTTGACATTTATCAAAAACTAGTTCATTGCTTTCACTAGCCCTACTCCCCGCTTTAAACTCTTTCGCAGCTTATTCAAAATTCCAAATGTTTTCTGCCTTGCTTCCTACGCATACACAAAATAGTATTTATTGAAATGCAAGCCATGCATACATGTACATATATGTATACATACACATGCCAAAAACAATGCGGAGATTTACACGTGCATACAGTCACACACATACTCATATGCATATTTATGGGAAGAGAGTTTTGTAGTATTTGAACGTATTGTTATGTGTAGGCACACAGTATATTATATAAATATGTGTCCAATGCTACATGCATACATACATACGTACATATGTGCAATTAATTTGGCACACATTGTCGCATAATTAATTTTCGTCTTTATTCTTGTTTTCTATTTATTTTGGTCGTCGTCGACGCAGTCGCCACTGCGGCAATTGAGTAAATCCGTGGCAATTGGCAATTATACAAAATTTCGCGCATAGACAATTGCAAGTTCCACCGCAGACAGACGTAAATAGATTGTAAGCACTGTCTGTGTGTGTGCTAGGTTAGGGTTGACACATTTGCTGCGCTCGGTGAAAGTGCCAAAGTGCGAAAGAGAGCAAAGGTAAATCGGGCTGTGATTGATGAGAATGGTAGACTCCAATGATGTGCCCACTGACAGGCAACAAATGATTCATCTGTCACACGCACACACACACCACGCACGCCCACATGCCAAAGGTTCTGTGAACTTTAAATGTGAAGAGCATTTTCAGTTGAATGGAGAGCTTTAAGCGACATGCATGCTAATAAATAACTGTTCTGCTACTCACCGAACGCAACAAAAAAGAGGGAATGCGTCTCTCTATATCTGTGCCTGTATGTGAGGCCTCGTAAAACTATTAAAGCGCCGTCGGCGTCACAGTTGACTGCGCTAATGGCAATGCGCCTTATGATATTTACCGTAAACCACATATGAACACATTATCCATGAGACCTGCAGGTGTCACAACATTGTGCGCGGACACACACAAACATACATATGCATGTATGTATGTATGTTCTTATATGTACAAGGAATCACCGTTGCGAGCATACCATAACAAATCCCGCGGTACAAATCCACATAACTTCAAACGTTGCCGACGTCGACGTCGACGTCGTTTATTTGTATAAAATTAGTTTATGACGCGCTAAAACAAAAGGCGAACAAACACTTACACACACACACGAACAGACGCTGCCTTTAAACAGACACTTAAAAAGTGCTTTGTGCGCCAAAGTTTATTATTTTAATAATTCATTATATTTTGGCGGCTCTTTGACGTAGAGCAACAAAAACGGCCAAACCGACTGCACCGTGTGAATCAAGCATGGCAACTATTTTAACCAAATGTTTAACCACGAATTTACACGAGAAAAAATTATAATAATAATAAAACACACAACTCAAATGCATGCCATGCCAACAATTTGTTTATAATTGTTGCCATTGTTGTTGCTCCAACATGTGTGTGCGTTATTAATTGCAATAAATGATGCCAAGCGTAGGCGTTGATTTCTGTTGTTTTTGTGGCTTGGGCATTTATGCGTAACGTACCATTCAAAAACTGCACACCAGCGCCATCTAGCAGATTTGCGGATAGCAGTAGTTTGGCGCACTCTGTTATCGATATTAATCTATTTTAAACTGTTATTATTCTCTTTGATTTTTATTTTGCGCTACATTTTATTTAAATATTAAAAGGAATTAAAATTAATTTTATTAATATTATTTTTACGCGCTATTCAAACTACATCACCTTCTAGCTATAATACGAATCCGAAATGTATTTGAACGAGAATTAAATTTAATAGATCATTAAAAAATATAAAAATGTATTCATCATATATATAATAAACTTTATTTAATTTACAATTCTTAAATGCAATATTATATCAATTTAATATGTGACAGGGAGCTACATCCTCAATTTCTTGGCCATCCAGCGTTTTTATTTGACATTCACAAAGAAAATGCACAATTTTACGCTCCGCCTGCCTTCGTTGTTCCACATTCAGGCCATCCAGCAGCATTTGGACCTTGTTTAGCAGGCTCTTTGATGTCTGGGCGGGTGTATTATTAACTGCCTGTTGCAGGGCTTGGAGGCAATCCTTCGACTGTTGCAATACGGTCTCCATATTTGAGATAACCGTGCCCATTAACTTTTCAGCTGTGGGTAAAGCTGGATCCTCCTCTCTGCAGGAAGCTGAAGGATCAGAGATTGATGCATCTGTTAGATTTGTCTCTGCAGCTGTTTCCTGCTCCTCTCCAACTAGCTGCTGATGATGTGGCTGTTGCTGTTCCGGTTCCAGTGATTCTGTTTGTTCCAACAAATCCTGCTCGTCGAGAACAAACTCCATATGCGTTTTGTGGTCCGCCTCGTTCAGCACCTCGAAAGCCTGTTGATGCTCATACTGCAGCTCCTCATCCTCCTCCAGTTCCTCCTCCTCCAGTTCCTCCTCCTCCAGCTCCTCATCCTGGTCATTATCTGTGCTATAAGGATAGTCTGCGCCCCAAATGAGATTCGTTACCCTCTTATCCGTTTGCTCTTGTCCTTGAGCCACCTTTGGTGGTCTTCCCCGTTTCTTGATATTTTCGATGATCAGCGGCACTCCCTTGCGAAAGTGCCGACCCAGAAAGAGCAGATCATTGAAATATCTCCAGGTAATCGGCGCCGATTGATTTATCTGGTGATTGCGATATTCGCGTGCAAAGCGATCTCGCAGCTTTTTCCAGCGATTATAGCAGAGTTCTTCTAAAAAAGAATATTTATAGTAATAAAGAAGTCTCGCCAAATACCCTTCAGCTTACCTGAAACGCCCAGGCTCTCAGAGATCGCTCGCCAGGCATCATTTTTCGCTGATAAATTCTTGGATATTCTTATTTTATGCCTATCATAGAGCACGGGATGAAGTTTGACCAGCTCAATGAGCTGCTGGCAAAGCTCAATATCCTCTGCATTCTCTACGTAATCCTCCTCCCGCTGCTTCTTCTCATGATCCTCCAGTCGCGTGCGTCGCGGCTTTCGATGTCGCGGCTCGAATTTCATTGCATCCAAATTTTCATGCTTCACCAAACCATGTTTGTAGTGATCCTTGAGGAAGAGCAGACGTGGAAACATATCCCAATAGGTGGGACTGTCTGGATTCTCCTGGAACCGACGAAACTCCTTGCCGAAGCGATCTCGAATGCTCTTCCAACGGGTGATGCAGGCTCGTTCGCTGGCTCCCAGTTTTAGGGAAATGGTTTTCCACGCTGCATCCTTGTTGGCTGCATTCTTGGCACTACGTGCACTGTCCTTATCATAAAGTATTGGATACTTTTCTATTAATTTAATCAACTCAACGTCATCCATTTATTTGTTTTTCTTAGCCAAACACTAAAATAACAAAAGACTGACTTCATTTATTTACTGTTTACAACTCTGCTTAGGCCAGGGCTGCGTGCCCCTATCGATATATGTACGCATATCGAGCACATAATTTCGATATTTATATCGCTAAGCCGTTCGCTTCGGCTGGCCACACACAAGTGCCAAGTACCTGGCCACATGGATACGCGTATTGCACATTTCTGCTACTTTTACAATAAATGAATAATTGCAATTAGTGAAAATTATAGCTGCAGTGGACAATAAACTGCAGAGCAAAAGAATCATCACACCCACACGTCGTAACTGAAGTGTGAACATTGTAAAAGAAAATTGCTGAGGCAGCAAGCGTGATTGTGTGTGTGTTGGAATTTGCAAGTGTGTGTGCGCCCGGAGATCAGCCAAAAAAAGCCGACAGTAAACGCTGCGCCCATTTTTTGTTGTTGATTCATTAAATACGCTACACGCTCATACACAAACACACACACACATTTATATACATATAAATATACCAAGGCTTGTGTGTATGTATATATGTTGTTTTTTCTTCATATGTGTGCACGTATGAATGCCTGTGTGTTAGTGAGTTGGAGCAGCCAGTCCAGCAATCTCCCCCATAATAAGTAACAGTGTCTCTCACACCAACACCAACAAACGCGTTCGCAGCAGCGACTGCGACAACGGCAGAAGCAGCAGAGGCGGCAGCAGCAGCAGAAAAGAAACAGTTACCGCACGAAAGAGCGCCGCATTCGTAGCCGGAGCGGCAAAAGCAACGTCATAAATTTGTCATCGCTTTTTGGTTATTCGCTAATTAAGCACAGTTTAATTTAATATCGAAAAAGAAAACAAACACACATTAAATCAAGATGATATTGCTGGAAATCAATAATCGCATCATCGAGGAAACGCTCCTGGTTAAATACCGCAATGCACTAGCTGGGTGAGTCGTCTATTCCTATATCTCGTTCGCTCTAACTGTAAAAGTGCCCCCATTTTCTATTTTATTTTTATCTATTTTCTTGCCTTATGCCTGTGTTATCAATTCTCGCTCCGATTATCAGCATATTTTACTCGCACATACGCTCATTGGAGAGCCTTAAAAATCGGGTGTAGTTCAAACTTGACGTACACTCATGCACTCGAATCAGTGTGCATGTGAGCGTATGTGTTAGTGTATGAGTAAGTGACTATGCTCCCATCACCCGCAGCTAACAACACAGTATTTATTGAGTTATTTGAGCTCGTTTATCGCATCATAATGCATAATCCCCCCTGTTATATGTTATACACCTCTCTCCCACATACGCACGAGCACAAATAACAAATGCACTTGAGTCATCGCCGGAGTCTCGAAAGGGTACCGACTGCCACAGCAAAACAAAACACTCAATGCTGCTGAGTCTGTTATACTCCGTGGAGTCAAAGTGGCATATTCCGAGATTTCCTCTCGATCTGTGTCTCAAATACTCCCAAATAAACCCAAAGACGAACGGCATCCTGCTTAATTCTTCATATTAAAACAGATGACTTGTGTTCGTGTACACCTAACCTAATCTGTTATATTCTGTGGAGTCAAAGTGGCATATTCCGGGATTTCCTCTCGATCTGTGTCTCAAATACTCCCAAATAAACCCAAAGACGAACGGCATCCTGCTTA